ATGTCCCCTTGAATAGAAAGGTCTGACCAGCCTTGAATCGATATGGGCAACCTATATGCAACAAGAGAAATGTTCGACCCATCTATGATTGATCCTCAGCGTATTATTCCTGTGTGGACTCCTACCTAGCTTGCCGCCATTCTTAAAATGAAAACGTGACTCTCTCATGAGAATGACTGACTGGCATAGCTGATATTTTCGGGGGCCTTAAAGGAGAACTATGGGGGTCAGTGTTTTTCCCCATAGTTCTCCTTAGGATAACGGGAGGACACAAACTAGCGTCCTCCCGTTACCCTAACCTCAGTATACCGCGAGCTAAGGCTTGCAAGCCGGAGCGGATCCCGATGTCATCATCGATGTCGAGATCTGCCCAGCTGCGTGACTGACAGCTGGCTCTGCCTATCTAGAGGCAGAGCCAGCTGTACCCGCCCCCTCCCCCGTCCGTTCCGCCAGTCAGCGCTGGTGGATCGGAGCAGGGAGGGGGAATCCAGCCCCTCCTCTGTCAGGGCAGAGAGCCGTGACAGGATCGAGAAGTCAGTGAACGCCGGTATGTGTTCGCTCACCTCCCGATCTACTGATCCGACCTCTGACAGTCTCATTGTCACAGGTCGGCTAGAATTATGAGATGTGTGGAAATCGCCTCCATAGTTCTCCTTTAAGTTTTCTTCAGGGACCTGGCTCACCTTCTTTATTTGAGATGATTGCCTCACTTTCAAGGGCAAGTCTATCAAAATTAATATTTCAATCAAAAGTTTGTAATGTCGTATTGAACCCCTCAACTGTCTTCTTTTATGACTTTGGGGCTCCAATGACGCGATGGCTCCAGCTCGCTGTCCTCATGTCTTTTTTTGCAGCGTTCTCTGTGGGTTGAAGTAGCTAGAATCTCAGGTGCAGTGGGTTAGTTGGCCTACCAACCTCTATCCAAAGCTGGAATATCGATGTTTAGTGGTCTCTTGGGTGACCCTACACTGGCCTTTATCTTTTTAACCAGTTTTAGGACTAAGCGATAGGCCCGCTCCTAGAGTATTTTGGTGATGGCACAGACATCCCCGATTTGATAAAATGTCTCCAAGTCGCTGGTCCTTTTTTAAATGATATTGCACAGGAATTGAACGGTATATCGTGTTACCCATCCACCTTCTATGTCTGCCTGCTTTTCTCAATCGATTGACCGGTTCTGTGATCTGAGGCAGACACATTCCAGCTCCAGGCTGACAGAGATATATTGACGAGGACGTATAGATTTGTGATTCTGGAATGTGTCTCTTGCCTCATTTCAAGTAATGATTTTTACAGCTTATTACGAGACCTGGCAATGTTTTATAAATAGCTGCACCGCCTAAAGTCTTATTCACCAGACAAATAACACAATGTATACCCAATTCATAACAGGAAGGTTTTGTGGTCACACAGTAAATAAAAGAAACCCGTGTAGGTTTAAATTCCTATATAATATTTCTTCTTAAAGGAGAACTATGAGGGGCGGGTGCTTTTCACTCACCTCATAGTTCTAGCCGACCTGTGACAATGAGACTGTCACAGGTCGGCTCAGTAGATCGGGAGGTGAGCGAACACATACCGGCGTTCGCTCACCTCTCGATCCTGTCACGGCTCTCTGCCGTGACAGGGGCTGGATTCCCCACTACGATCCGCCAGCGCTGACTGGTGGATCAGACGGGGGAGGGGCGGGTACAGCTGGCTCCGCCTCTAGATAGGCAGAGCCAGCTGTCAGTCATGCAGCTGGGCGGGTCCCGGCACAATTGTCGGGATCCCCTTCAGCTGCGGCGTCTCAGTATACCGCGAGCTACAGCTCCCTATATACTGAGCCTAGGGTGACGGGAGGACGCTAGTTTGTGTCCTCCCGTTACCCTAAGGAGAACTATGGGGAAAAGACTTAACCCCATAGTTCTCCTTTTTAATCTAGACCAACTTCACATTGGCTCAAGCCAAACATTTTTGGTCTTGAATGGTATGAGAAACGGTTAGAAACCTTGTCAGGTTTTTATTGCCGTGTGTGTCCTCGGAGAGTCATCCTCTCCTTGCGTAGTGACCACTGTCACAAGTTCAAAAAGTAAAGGGAAATCGTAAAAAATTTCGTTGTCATTAAAACAGGAATCGTGAGGGACCTCTTCCAATGGAGACATTTTGTTCCAGTGACAACTAAGGAAATTTCCCTAGCTTTGGAGAGATTTCCTCTTATGACTTATGTCGTTAGGACAGGAAGTGAAGGGAAATCTCTCCAATGAGAAACCGATAACAAAAGGAAAGCAGACGGAGTTTAACTGTTCTCTACTCTATGCAAAATTGAGGGGGAAAAAATTAGAAATACTTTAAATCCCAGCAACAAAATTACCATATAAAGAGTTGTTTTTCATATTTTATTAAAGGAGAATCATGAGGCGAGTGATTTTCACTCAGCCTCATAATCTGAGCCGACCTGTGACAATGAGACTGTCACAAGTCGGCTCAGTAGATCGGGAAGTGAGCGAACACATACCGTCGCTCGCTCACTTCTCGATCTATCCCTGCAGAGAGCCGGGCCTGTCACTCACGGCTCCCTGCAGGGATCCCTCCCCCCTCCCCTGTCCGATCCTCCAGCGCTGACTGGCGAAACTGACGGGGGAGGGCACAGCTGGATAGGCAGAGCCAGCTGTCAATCCCGCAGCTGGGTGGATCCAGACGGTATTGTCGTGATTCGTCCCTGCTGCAGGCGTCTCAGTATATAATAAGCTGTAGCTCGCGGTATACTGAGCCTTGGGTCACGGCAGAACACTAGTTTGTGTCCTCCCGTGACCCTTAGGAAAACTACGTGGAAAAGCTCTGACCCCATAGTTCTCCTTTTTAAGCCCTCGTTCACACCTGAACGTTTTGTAGCGCGTTCTACGCTCGACGAACGCTCTACAAAACGCTCAAAAATATAAATCCCATTGTAGTCAATGGTCTCGTTCCCACCTTGGCGTATTTCCGCCCGTCCCTAACGCGCTACAAAACGGCCCACGCCTGAAAAAGTACAGGTACTACTTTGGGCCGTTTTTGTTGCGCGTTTCCATTGGGATACAGCCAAGTAGCCTTCGGAAACGCGCGACTTTATTACAAACGCGCGACGGTCGCGCATGTGCAATACGCCTAGGTGTGAACGAGACCTAAGAGACAAGGCAGTGCAGTTATTAGCAGGGTTCTTCATCTTTCCTAGTAAGGTGGATAGAAATATTTGACAAACAGATGCGAGGGTCATAAATCTGCTGTCGTGCATAGAGGTAAACACAACTAGCAATGAATCTCGGGATCACAAGACTTCTGAAGCACGGAACATCCACACCAAGCAGTAGAACAGGAGAGCTTGTGTCACAGACGTTACACTCTGAAACAGTCCGTGGAGTTGTGGAAAGTACGCTACATATTACACTCCAGTAAAAACTAAATGAAGACTTGTAAATGCATGCAGAGAGGAGTACAGGCTATGATGATTTTTTTTTAATTGATAACATTGTTGTAATGTAATATAGATGACACCACTCATAATTGTTGGTGATCTGGGAACCTCCTTTTTCACTTCCTCTTTGTAACACAGAAATGGAATTCTCTAACACGCCCACCATAGACTGGTTTTTGTTGTTCTGGCTTTCGCAAATAGAAAACCTATTTTTATCAAACTGTCAAGTCTAAAACTGGTCATACCCCGCAGACGGAACAAGAGAAATCACTCAATTTCCCTCCATTCACGCTAAAGAGCATGGATGGCGAGATCTCCCGTGTCTGTTAATGTATTTTTGTCAGAATACTTGACTGGTGACTGTAGCCAATAAGGAATGTTAGAGACTCGGGTTTGTCCATTCAGGGCAGTGACACGATCTCTTAAAGGCCACCCCCTCTACCCACTTGTATTCTCCTTTTAACTATGGCTCCCCCACTGCTATATTCCTCCATCAGGGCTGGAAGTCCAATCTTTTGCAATCCTTTTTGTCATGTGGTCAAGGCCTTTGCTACCACTAGGCAAACTACGCAGCCGCCTAGGGCGCACTGCTGACTAGGGCGCAGCCTAGACCACTAACCCCACCCCATGGCACCCCCCGGTCTATTTCAAATTGCAAAAGCCAATAGCAGGCTGGCTATTGCACCTGCCGACTGAGCAGAGGAGCGGAAACTGAGAGACAACTTTCTCTCTCAGGTCCACTCTTCTGCTGCTCAGTCGGGGGGTTTCAATAGCCAGCCTGCTATTGGCTATTTCAAATTAAAATAGCCGATAGCAGTCTGGCTATTGCTCCCGGCTGCTTACATTCACCTGTCACCTGTGGAAGCTAACCAGCAGGAGAATGGGGCCACGCAGGGGGGATTGGGGGTTGTGCCGCGGGAGCGGGGCTGGGGGTTCAAGTAGCTGGTCTTGCCTAGAACACAAAATAGTCCAGCACCAGCCCTGCATGTGGTCACATCCTCTTCCTCATATGATAGTGTTTAGGCATTGTGGTTGGCTGCTTATGCCCAAGCACTACATCATTGGAGGAGGTCACATGCTTCCTTAGACCCGGGAACACTGGGTATTTGCTATGGCTTCAAAGAAACCATGGAGGAGCATTGCAAAAGATGATTTGGAAGGTGGACTTTTTAAGAGGCTCTGTCACAGTGACAGGGTCTTTTTTAAATCTTTTGTAGTTTGACAATTTGCACAGAGATTTTTGGCTATATGTAGGAATGTAGGAAGCATGCAAGCCTCCAGCTTAGACACCAACTGTTTATGGTTTTTAATGTCATTATGAGCTTTCATCTTCAGTTATGCAGACTATGGTCAATATTGCTTAAGAATGAATAGTCACTCAAGGGAGTGGAACGGTGGCCTCGAGGTAGATCATGTACAGCACAAGGCAATAATGTCATCACGTATTCAGAGAACACAAAAATAGTTTAGTTCTGTTTTTGTTCTTTTTTTTTTTTTCTTCCCTGCCTTCATTATTTTTCAGCAGCTAAAAGAAATAGTTTAATGATCCTGTATTTTTGTTTTCCAGATGGGAAGAAGAGTACGCCAAGAGGACAAACCTAGAGTCCATGGTGGAGACTCTTCAGGAGGTAAGATGGGGCGAGGCCTACAAAGAATGGAGACGTCAAACCCAACAAGATGGAAAACCTGGTTCTTGACATCTCTCTCTGTTTTTGGTTTTTAGGAGGCTCAAGAGTCCTACAATGTCCACGATGAGCTCAACGAGAAAATTGAGAGACTGAAGTCGGAGCTGGTGGTCTTTAAAGGTCTGATGAGTGACGTAAGTACCCCTCAGCAGCATTTTTTTTTCCCCTGACACTGTCACTGCGGAATGTTTAACCCACACTGCTTCATCCGTGTAAAATTGTCGGGCACTGAAGCATAACGCAAACCTTCCCTCCCTTCCGTAAAACATGTTGCAGGACCACTCAGCCTCCGCTTCTCCATCAGCCAAAGTGACACATTGATTCAACTAGTTTTAAAGGGCCAGCGTACATTAAATGAAGTTCATGTCTTGTACAAGAGCTACTTGCACCCTTCACAAATAATATAATTTTTAGATTTGTACAGAGTGCCGTTTCCTGTGTCGGCTATTAGAGCTTAATATTTATTGTCACATTAATTCAGACTTGCAGCGGTCATCTACCACCCACTGCATTGTAGCCAAATAGTAGTCAAAAGCACTGAATATTGTACACTTTTTTTTTTTTTCCAACGTCATGGAAAATGTCTGGGTGAGTTGCATCAATTGTTCAAAGGAACATGCGTTTCAGTGCCCATGTAAAAAAAGCCGTCACCCAACTTGGCAGGACCATAAAAAGGTCCTGGCAGTGCAACAATGATTGCTATATGTCTCAATGCCCAAAGTTCTCCCGGAGACCTCCTGTCTGCAAGTAGCAATAGACCAGAGGAGAGTCGAGTGCACATACGTATGCCTGTCTGCTGTGTTCTGCAGTGGAATTACTGATGGAAAACCATCATTGTATAGGACAATCTAATCTCATGTTTTCAAAATGCACCTGGAACTCTTATGTTTGTGAATGGTATTAAGAGCCCTTATGAACCAGCACTGTCATTCAGATTTACTGGCCCTTTAAAATGTAATACCAGTGTGTTTTTTTTTTTTTTAAAGGTGACTTGTGTCTTTTTAGCAAACGTTTTGTTTCTGGCCTGTAAGGTAATAAAACTTGCAGTGAGCGTGAGACTAACAAACTCGTGTGTAGTACATACATATGCATGACCTTTCCTGTGCATGTCCTGCTGATATGCGGAAAGGCAAGCAAGGGAAAATTGAGATTTGAACTCTTGTGGTAAGGATATGAGGTCATTGTGATTCATGAATCGCTGAATCAGCTACCCTGGAAGTTTTGAAGGGGGGAGTCTGTCTTTCAAGCTTAAGAACTATACTCGCCTTGCAACCATGCGAGAGTCATGATCTTTTCAGAATGGACCAAAATGTTCTTGTATCTTTACGCCAGGCTCCGGGGAATATAATACATGACTCATTGTATTTATTACAGATAAGCCTGTCGGGGAAATGATTTATTTTTCTTGTTCTTGTTGGTGGAGCACATTGGCTGACCTGTAGGATAAATTCATGGATGGAGAGCATTGACTTTATAAAAACAGTCAGTCCATGACCCAGCAAGCGTCATCATGGACTTTGTTCATTGAAAAAGAGAAAAGGGTTCATAAAAAAAACATCCACAATCCTTTTTTTCGACTATGTGGCCCTGAAATCTCTGAAGCTTCACCAACAGACCATTGGAATGAATAGGAACCGTTCAGCAAGAATGGTCTCAATCTGGATGCGTAAAATGTTTCTCATTTTTCTGTCAATCTAGAACTGTGCTGAGCTTGTTACTAGGAATGCGCCGATGCCGGTTTTTTGGTTATGACTACCGGAAAGAAAAAAAAATTCCGTACTCGCCTATAGTGTGTCCTGATTATCAGGAAAGCAAAACAAATGGTAAACACACTCATCAATTGTATGTGTATAAAGCCCTTCCATGTGCACCTTGCTGTAAAGCTGTTGACGAATTGATGAGTGCATTTGCCATTTGTTTTGCTTGACTGATTTGGTGCAGTGACGCATGGGGGGGGGGTCTCAGCTGCCGTTGTGATGTGTGGGGTTCCTTGTGCGTCCCTGCGCCTTTTTTAAGGAGGTTGGGCTTCCTCCTGACAAACCTGCACCCAATTTTATCTTTTGCCACATGTGCTCCGAGATGGTAAAAAAAATGGTAAAAATTAGGACCGCACTATAAGAGGTGCCTTGGCGCGGCTGTGCGGTTTTCACATTTTCTGCAGAAGACGTGTATCTACACTTCTGTTTTTAACATTAGCGGTCAGACAAGTTTTTTTGCATGCTGGCTGGTGAGTGTGCTGAGAAACTTTTTGCTGTTGTACGGATTACCCGCCACCCGGCTTCCTGATGTCTGGGAAGCTGGTGTTCTATCGAAAAAGAACACTGGTTTCACTTGCCGAGGTTGCTTGGCTTCCTGACCAATCAGGAAGCCAGACGGCGGGTCATGAGGTGCCGTCCGGCTCCCTGATTGGTCAGGAGCAAGGCTGCCTAGCAACAAGTGAAGCCGGCTTCCTAGCCTTTTAGGAAGCCAGGAGGTGGGTCATAACCCACCACCCGGCTTCCTGATTGAAAAGGAAGCCGCCTCCATTCTCCATAGGCACTACCGGTCAGAGGGAGATTCTAGGAGGTAACGGAGCATTTTGGCGAGTATCGGTGCATGCCTAGTGGATACCTAAAGTTACTTACGATATGCTCATTAATTTTAACATGTGCTCATAAAATTAAAGTCGAACTATGCCCTCCTATCCTTTTACAGCCAAAGAAGGTAGGAAGGTGCAATTTTGACCTATTTGCATTGCAGTTGCCATGGTGCTTCACATGTGATCAGCTATGACAGCAGCCACTTGATGGCTTGAAAGTTCGGTTGAGAGCCGGCAACCTTGACCCCCCCTGAAAGTAACTGTTTTAGAGACGGGTAAATTAGTGGGCCAAGTTCCTCTTTAATGAAGGAACCTTTCCCTCTCTTTCTGTCCAGGCCTGGTGACTCTTTTTTAGGGAGTTGGCTTTGGTTATCCATTGGATTTCATGGCCAAGTATGGATCATAGCTAAAACTATGAACTTGGCATTTGGTGATGACGCAAGGATTCTCAGCAAACGTAATGAATGCAGAGAGTCTTTGACTTGGCAAACTAGTGAAGATGGGTAATGCCAGGGATTACTAGATGGGTAATTTCCAAGGTTTCAAAGTTATTCTGATATCACCACCTCAAATATTAATAAACACAAACTTCACAAGGAGACTGCAATGTGGCTGGTTGGTTTATCTTTAGCATGGTCTCCATTGCCTAAAAGTGTAGTAAATGAAAAGATGAACTGAGCCAGCCATAGGACTCCTTGTTCAGCTTGTGTTTATTGATGACTTCTTCAATGCTCCTACATTTGATGGCAACCGAAACAATCACCCCGTACCAGCAAACCAGAAACAATCTTTTATTGCCGTGTCTGCTTTAAACTGACAAAGTTAATCTCTGGCTGGATATTAAAGCTGCTGCAATCAGAACAACATCCTTGCTCTTCACAGTGTCTTTAATAAAGCCCAAAAAGTCATTCTTTGTGGGCTGTTGCAGTCAGACTGCAAGACGTTAGGGTTGGGAGGGTTAAACGGTTAGCTGGTTTTGGTCTGGAAGCAGCAAGAGAACAATGAGGAATTGATGCCATATTAGGATTGCCGGCCAAGGAAACCAAACCATGAATAATGTGTGTGGAGTCTGCTGCCTGTAACCTGAGTCTATGGAGCCAGCAGGAAATGTCTTTGTGTTCTTATGAACAGATAATATACAGATTTCAGTTGTAGGATCCCTGTACCATCTTAAAGAACTGGTCAGTTGTGCCTAATGATGCCACAAATTGAAGCAGCTTTGGCAGTAATTAGGGATGCACTGATACCAGTTTTTCGGTATAGAGTACCGATATATTTTTTTTCCGGTACTCGCCCATACGGAGTACTGGTGCCATGTGCCCCGATTATCAGGAAGTCGGGTGGCGGATCATGACCCATGGTCCTTCTTCCTGATTGCCTGGGAAGCTGGTGTTCTATCGAAAAAACACCGGCTTCACTTGCCGAGGCTGCCTGGCTTCCTGACCAATCGGGAAGCCGGACGGTGGGTCACGAGGTGCCCTTTGGCTTCCTGATTGGCTAGGAAGCCGGCTTCACTCGTTGCTAGGCATCCTGACCAATCAGGAAGCCGAGCGGCACATCATGACCCGCCTTCCAGCTTCCTGTTTGCCTAGGAAGCCAGCTTTACTTGTTCCCAGGCAGCCTGGCTTCCCAGGCAGCCTGGCTTCCTGACCAATCAGGGAGGCGGGTCATTACGTGACGCCCAGCTTCCTAATTGGCTAGGAAGTCAGCTTCACTTGTTGCTAGGCAGCCTGACTTCCCACCCAATCAGGAAGCCGGGGGAGGTGGGTCATAACCCACCACCCGGCTTCCTAATTGGAAAGAAAGCCGGCTCCATGCTCCCTCGCCACTGCTGGTCAGAGGGAGATCTCCCTTTGACCAGAAGTTCCAGTATCGGGGGTAAGTATCGAAGCTTTTGGTTGAATACCAGTACTCGCCCAAATACTGTATCTGTGCATCCCTAGCGATAATTGCTTAGTATGGGATCTAATAAGCATGAGAGATTGAAAGTGAAAGAAACTAAAATCTCCAACAGAGAAATCAGTTTTAATGGAGATTCCCATTTCAGTAAATAAATCTGACATACTAGTAATGGGGGTTTTCCACCAGAACGCGGTTCTGCTTTCCTGGTACAGAGTGTGTTAATGTGCAGCTTATCCAAAACAGGATCTCTTTGTCTCCAAGTCTGGGATGTAGGCTGCTCTCCCTCTCCCTGCCCGTTCATTTTGTTTTTCTTTTTTCTATTTTTATCCGCATACTGTTTTTGGCGAGCCATTCAAGGCTGGATCATAGACGATTAGCGGTACGCAGGGTTCAGTAATCCTCAAAGGGTGTTTTTCCGCTTCACCATAACAGTCTTAAAGGGAATCCTATAGTCTAAAGTGCTTTAGATACACAGGTAAAACGTGACGTAAAGGAACATAGTTTGCGAATATAGGTGCATGTGGTGGCAGACGCTTTGCTCCTTTAAGGACTCGTTCATACCACAGCGCATATAATAACCCATGTGATAACAGACATTACTGCAACGCGGTGTGTGTATGCATTGCCAGTCATTCTTAATTGCACTCCAACAGGTATGAATGATCTGCGTGCTCCGCGTGATTTTTCTTGCATTCAGCACCCGTTCAAACTAAATGGCCTTTCTTTATGCAACACACAGACATGTGCGTGTTAAGCTGCATGCGTCATGCTGCAAATGATCCTCATGTAGGCCATGCATCCTGCCAAGTCGCTGCTGCTCCCATGCTTTGCAAGCCTAAAGCTATCCATACATAATTTGTCCTCTCGGGCTGAACGCTAAACGGCATGCATGGAGGAATCTTCCCCTCGCTGGCTGTTGCATTCCAGCAGCTAATGGGTGTCAAAATACCCAAAAAAGTGACTGTAGCTGATTGGCCAACCATTTTCTGGATGGCTCCTTAGATTTTTTTTTCCAATCGAAGATTGTTGAGCCAGGTAATTCCAGCAGGGCCGGCCACCCACCATTTAGGCCCCTTTTCCACGGTCCGTTCAGGAGGGGATCCATGCACATATTTCCTGTTGCTCAGTTGTGACATCCGTGTCCTTCTTGCGATGGAGCAAAAAACTGAAATTACCGGACCCATGTTGGTATATGTGGAATCGGATGTACACAAACTTGTGTCCGTTTACTTCAGATTACCCAGATCCGGCACAATCGGGTCTAGTGAAACCGAACTCTGATCCGTTTATTTTTCCGGACCTGGCTGGGGCCAAGGGTGACAGGATGTGAACGGACGCCCGTCCATTTTAGATCTGGCTGCCCATAGACTTAACATTGGATTGGAAACTCCATGTAAAAGGGCTCTTAGAATTCGCAGCCAATTTTTATAACCATGCCAGCTTTACCAAGTGCCTAACATGACTTGCAGCAAGACGTGCCGTGTGGCTACATGATTTTATTTCAGCAGTTGTTAGGCTAAAAGATAGACCACACTGCCTAATATACAGATAACTACTCAAAGGAGAATCTCAAAATCTGTTTATAAAATACACAAGAGAACGTTCGATGGCAGACAAGAAAAATGCCACTGTTCTATCGAAAGCTCCAACTCGACGAAATCTCCAAATACCTCACTGCCGGGTACTTGCAAGTTGGAGATTTCGACCAGACGGCGTTAAGACTGCAAAACACAAAGACTGACGGAGCTGTTGCAGTCAGACATGTGCATTTTAACAATATTCAGCAGGTGGCAAACTCGACTAGTATTCTGAAAACGTTCTGCGCGCATGCGCACCGCAACTGTACAGAGCTCCAGTCTTTCTGAGCACCGGAAGTGAGGTAGTTGGAGATTTCGATGGAACACCACATCAAGACAGACATTGCCGTATTGGCTGGAAGTAGTCACTGAAAATACGCAACACAATCTCTTTAATTCTCACAGCATTGCAACTTAACTATTGGTGGGGAAGGGTGAAGAGGTTCCTTTTTACTACAGTTCCATCCTATCCCCTTGTTTACACGCTCAGTCCATGTACCTGTACCATGGTGGGAAGGTGTACATGAGGCGGTGGAGGATACTGCTCTATATATAAACACCTTTTCTTCACAGAAGTGTACACTCTAAGAGCTCCATTTGTGAGCACAGAAGGGAGGCAACCACAGAAATGACAATGTACATTGACGGGGACAAAGAATGTCGCTGGTTGACTCCTAGGGAGTTGGTGGACGTTGTGCGTGTTCTGTCGCTGGGGATTGTTGCGAGGATTAATAAAACAACAAACATATTTTCTATTGTATCGGGCCGCAATAATACTGATGCCGGAACAAGCTGTCCGTAACTGCCCCAGATTGCAGGGCATTCGATATTGTATAATAATATATATATATATCTCTATATCTCTCTATCTCTCTATCTATATATATTTTCTTTGTGACGCAAGTCCATGTTTGTCACATCTGTAGGATCTGATGCCTGTTTTGTTTAAAGCTTTGTGCAGTTTTGGGTTTAACGTCTTAGAGCCCATCAGACAGTTGTTGTGCAGCTCACGTGACTGCATATTTTTTTGAATGTCCTGACCGATGCTAAACTTGCCCCCAATCCCTGCTCTCCCTTGATTGCAGTTGGCCGTGTGTGTGCCCTCCCCCCCACGCTAGTTGGCCGTGTGTGTGCCCTCCCCCCCACGCTAGTTGGCCGTGTGTGTGTGTCCCCACGCTA